TTATAATTGGATGCTCCCAAGTCACATTCAGAGTTCGACATGTCGACGGGCACACCACGTACAATAAAGACACTCATTTCTTTTGAGTATCTTTGTCCTACAGTTTGATACCAATTTCAGTAGACCTATATTCTTACCTCTACGGTCGAGGCTGCTAAAGGGTGCACACGATTCAAAGCTTCATAGTGAATTGCATAACCTTGTTTTCAGGTTATAAAACTCAAGACTAAGAGTGTTCATTCCTTAGCAGAAATTGCTCGATTCAGGTGTCAGAAGCGCATTTCATACATTCAAGACATTCACCAAACCGAGCTCGAATTGGCACACCCACATCAACAATCAACCACCAAAAAACGAAGTTAGCTCCTTAGTTACTTCGTTGTGAGTATCACGTAGGCTGTATAATTTATTAAAATCAACGATATATCAAACATTCGAAACCAAAATATATATACACACACACAGCCAATATAGAACAGTGAACTTAGCCCGTGGACTCCATTTGTAAGTTGGCGTAGTTCTTAGGTTATACATTGCTCACTTCTTTGAGGGTAGGTACAAATAGGCAATTTGCACTCTGATAATAATGTTTTTTTTTTTTGAACACTTGTCCAATTCACCAGAAAAAAGTTACATAGATACTACACATATATCTCTCCTTGCACATGATTCTGTTTGTTATAGATTTCCTTTTGCAGTGCCATTAGATCCTTCCCAAACATCGGATCCAAACTATATACTTACTGAATTCATTAAATTATTATCTAGTATTATATATTAAAATTACAATATTTTTATATATTTTCTTTCCCAAGTAGCATTTTATGAAGTATATAAATATCCCACCAGCCAAACAGAGCCCATATCCGTGCTGGCTTACCTGACAGCCCAACAAAGAACAACAGCCGCCCCAAATCCAAAACTATCACATATTTTTATTTAATTTTTAAATTCCCATATGATAAAAAAAATAATACCAATAAAATATTTAATTTTATATTCCTTTTATTTATTACGTTTCGGCAGTTCCCTCCTGCTTCCATGTAGGCGACCGATCACGCTCCCCTACTTGCATGACCTAAGCCCAGGAGCCATTACATCACCGCCGGGTCCCGCCCACCGTTCGCTCCACGCAACTCTCGCCGACGACGCGCCTTCGCCTCGGCTGTCGGTGTCACCTTTCGCCCACGTCACCGCCACACCCGTCGCAGCGCAGAGAGCGTCCGTACTTCAGGGCCACGTGAAGGCGGCCTGCGTGGCGGGGAGCCATACGCTACGTGTCAGCGTCATGCAAAACTACATGGGGGTCGAAATCTTGTGGACTCGTTCGCGGATTCCAGACGACTCGATATCGGTGTGTCGGCCGAAACCAAAGCGGGCTCCGCGCCTCCACGTAAGTACACTATTTTCTTACGTGGACCCCTTTAAATTGTGTAATTATGAAAAAATACAGGGGGTTGTGTTAGAATTGACCACACTTTATTCTCTAGTCTCTACTTTCAGCATCACTCCCCGATAGTTTTCGGCTTTTAACTTTTGGCCACTTTTTTTATAAATACTTTGAAAACACCTAAGATAACGAATCAATATTTTCTTTATTACTTTAGACTGGGGGTTTCAGCCGGCAAATTAATCGATTAAATCATCTTGGATGTAATTGTTGAGTGAAAAGTTTTATGAAATGCCAAGAAGACGCACTTAAAATGAGACTCTTATAAATAGTTCGTCACATCAATTTTTCTGACACGGTATTTTATCATGTTGGCATGAAAATTGTGTCAAAAATATAAGGTGGATAAAAGTTCATAAAAAGTCATACTTTTAAGAGAATATTCTTAACATTTCTCATGTTTTATTAATCAGCGTTACGTGGTGTTATTAAATTAAGCAAAAATTGATCTCATAATTTTGTCTCACTCATCATAGATGTTGCAGGCTAATATGTACCTCATCATTTAATACATCATCTAACTATAGATATAAAAATAGATTTGAACGTAGATTAAGAAGGTTAAATTAAAATTGTATTTCTTAAAAAAAAATTTGAAACAAGGTACGATATTCATTAAGCATACAAAGAATACATACATCTTGAGGATAGTGTGCTCAATGAGCCTCAATAAAAACCTTGTTGGGGCTTTCAATCTAATCTAAGGAAAAGAGTGTCCTGCACAAACTGGAAACCTATCCTCAAACAAACAATCAACAACAAAAGGCAAAATGACAACTTACAAGTCCTCCTCGACTAATATATCCTGAATCAAATCCGGAGGTTCCTCAAACCACACATTCTCCTGAGAACTACTAAGATCCATTCTAGCAAGTCTATGCGCCGCCTCATTTCCTTCCCGTTGACCATGGTTGACTATCAAGTGCGCCATTTCTGCAAGCAAGCATCTTAAGTCATTAATTATAGGGCCACAGGCTAAAGAATCATCCCCATGCCCCGCCATAGTAGCTATCACCAAGCTCACATCACCCTCCAAATAAAGTTGACCATCCTCCGGCCAATGGTTCCGTACCAGCAGCACCGCATGACGAGCAGCCAAAAATTCCGCATGTATAGCAGAGGATGGGCTTGCGATTGGACCTGCAATAGCTGCCAAAAAGTTCCTCAAATGGTTTCTGATCACCACCCTGTATCCCCCTTGATGTCCATTATGACGCCACGCCCCATCAAAGTTGCATTTAATCCAACCCTCACCAAGTTTGCGCCACTTCTGGACCACTCGATTAACCTTCTGTCTCCCCGTCTTATGCCATTTCTCATCTGCCCAAACTTAATTTCTTAGTCCTCTCTCTCAACCTTAACCTAGGTAGCAGAGATGTCAATCAAACAAACACCCGAATCTGGGCGGCTGAGTGGGGGGATCAATTTGTTTCTCTCGACCTCAATTTCTCAATCTCGTTGACGAGATGTTGTTCGTGCAGCCTGCTGACATTCGCCTGGATACTGCCCATCACCCACCCAGATTGTCGAGGCCATTAAGACAACGCCTAGGATGTCGCCTAACTCACATCCGATTTACTGCGGCGACTCGACATCAGCTAGCGTTTAGGTCGTTTTTTATAACATTGATCATGATGAATTAGACAAAATAGGAAATGCGTTTAGGACATCTATTGTTAGACGAACAAAGTAAAAAATAACATAAGTATCATTTTCTATTAAAGAAGTTTTTTGTTGTCGATGCTCTAATGATCAAAGAATTTATTTGTTCTAGGATTTTGAGTTATTACCAATATAACAACACAAATGTTCATTTCTAAGATCATGCAATTCAGTTATGATGAAGCAAATAATGATAGAAATTCACGTAACCAAACTTTTGTTAAAGCGACAAGAAGTTACAATGACCAAATTCTTAGTCTCGTTGTAGAGATGTCATTCGTGCAGCCTGCAGACATCTTCCTAGCTAGCTACCCAACACTCGGCCACACTGTTGAGGCCACTTAGACAGTGCCTAGGATGCCGCCTAACTCACATCCTGATTTAAGCTAAATTGTGGTGGCTCGACATCGCCTAGTGCTTAGCCAGCCTTGTAGGCCGCTTTTTAGAATAATGGTTATGATGAACTAGATAAAATAAAAAATGTGCTTAGGACATCTGTTTTTGGACGAACAAAGTAAATAATAACATGAGAATATCATTTTCTGTTATCGATACTCTAATGATCAAAGGATTTATTTGTTCTAGAATTTTTAGTGATTACCAATATAACGACATAAACGTTCATTCTCAAGATCATGCAGTTCAGTTATGATGAAGCAGACAAAGAAATTCAAATAACCAAACTTTTGTAGTTTTGTTACAAGAAGAAATGGTGGTGTTCATACGATTTTTCATGTCGGTAGAGAATCTTTTGTTCATATTGTTGACAACCAATATTTAGAGCTCAAAACTGATAATTTTTACATAAAACATGTACATCATCATATGAGCTAGAGTACGGTTGTTGGTTTCGGGCGAAAAAGTAATAATCACCAAAGAATATCGTTTCATGATAGATAACTTATTAGTTATTACCCTTTTCCTATTTGTGCTAAGCACTAGACTAACTAAAACACAGAAAAAGAAAGTGATGACATTTAGCTTTCCATTGTTAATATTTACAACCAAAGGGGCAAATATTTATCAGAAGAAAACTGACGGGGCGAAAAGAGAAAAACCAGAAAAGCTTGAAACGGAATTAGTGATCACTGGACGGTGAGTGAAGTAGGGTGCACGTGACGACAACCCAAATCCCGACATGTACCTCGTCAACACGGTCCGCTTGGGCCCCATCCCGTGGACCCATCCGCTTCTGATTCGGTCCTCTTAAAAGTTGCAGCGGTTTCGCCGTGGGTGCAGCTTAAAATAAAAACAAGTTTTAACGAAAAATTCACAGTATTATTTATTTTAACGAAAAATTATATTTTTACATTAAAAAAACAAACCTGGTACTATTTATTTTATCTTTTATTTTGTTCTTATCGTTAAAACTCAAAGTTTTCAAATCATTTTCATTAGTTTTTCTAAAATAGAAACATGGGAAAAAGATGAGACAACCGAGAACCGGTATCCTGAGGGAGTCCTCACGGACCCACCCCTGATTCACGGCATCCTCACCGTCCGATCATGGTACGCTCGGCAATTTGCTAAAATAAGCTGGGTGGTATGGTGTGGTCTTCCATGCTGGGGGAGGCGGGGCCGGTGAAGTGACGTAAGCAGGGTAGAATTTTCTTTAGCATGCGCCCACCTGGAACTGAAAACAGTCGGCTGACGCGCACGTTAGAGGTGTCGCGTGAGAACTCAGACCCGCGCCGCGGGACAAGGCTCGTCAATCGGGAAACAATGCCGGCGATATGTCTGTTGGATCGTCGGCACAGATTATCCACAAATGATACAATTTAACGTAAAATTTAAAAAACGGGTTTTGATCCGATCCAGCCGCGTTTTTCATTTTCCTGCGTTTTCTCGGGAACCAAACAGTAAATACGAAATAATAATGGAGTGATGATACAGAATGAAACGTCTCATTTCATTGCAGATTTCTGAACATTTTAACTACTAACTGAACAACACAGAGAGAAGCTAAGATCTCTCAGATGGGAATAAAAAAAATAAAAAAAAATAAAAAGAAGAGAACATTAGATAAAGGTCGGGTGGGTTTTTTTTCCCTTCGGGTATATACATAAGGAGCTGTGGAGCAGTTTTTAATATTAAAAAACTGCATGTAGGGGGCTAATTTCAAAATACATGACAGCTCGAGGGTTGCTAGCTTTCTCGTTTTCTAAGAGGGGTTTTGTTTCTTACATAAAAAGGAACAAACTTGGCACCGGAAAGAAAAAAAGGGGGATCTTTCGCGGCGGGCGGCGGTAGTTTAGGCGACTTCTGAGGGGGGAGGAAGGTTGAGGTCGAGATCGAGCCGCCCGTTGCGGGAGGTGCGCTCGAAGTCGACGACCGAGGACGAGGACGAGTCGCTGTGGCCTGAGCCTGATGTGGGGGCGGGGGGGTCGAACCTGCAAGTTTCGCGGGCGTGCTGGAGGGCGTCGAAGAAGATCACGGGACGGGAAGCGGGAAGCGGGCGGAAGCCGCTCGCGGCGGTGAAGTAGCCGCCGCCGGTGGACAAGCGGGGGGTTTTGAGAGTGAGGTCGAGCGGGCGCGGAGACGGCGGGGAGGAGGACTCCACGGTGCTGCTGTGGCTGCTGGGGCTGTTGCTGATGTTCGTCGTCGCAGCTAATTTGGCGGCGTTGTTCATGTTGGCGATGTTGACGGCGTCGAGATGGAGCTCAGTGGGGGTGGGGAAGTTGGTCTTCGCCTTGCCTCCGCGGAATTCACGCGCCGCCTTGTCGTAGGCGCACGCTGCCTCCTCAGCGGTGTCGAAGGTCCCGAGCCAGACGCGGGTCTTCTTCCCGGGATCTCTAATCTCGGCGGCGTAGCGTCCCCAAGGCCTCTTTCGGACACCCCGGAATCGGGTCTCGATGGATGTCGGGTTCGGGTCCTCAGAGCCGGATTTGGGTGGGGACTTCTCCGTCGTCGGAGCCATGGCTGCTTGGAGAGAAAGATGCGAGCTTTGAGAGAGAAAGAGAGAGGGTTGGTTGGGGAGAGGGAGGGAAGTGAAGGTGCGGTTTTATAGCGGGGAGAGTGTTAAAGCGACGCTCCTTTTTGGGCGCTTGTGTGTTGTGGAGAGTGGAGAGTGCACAATCTAAGCCTAATGTGGCTTCACTTGCACGAACCACCTCGGTTACTTCTGACCACCTCTCACCTCGCGCCACGCATTTTTTTCCCTTTTTCTTTCCTATTTTGTAGATTTTTAACCACCCCCCTAACTCTCTACAAATTTAATGCTGGTTTTGGTACATTATACATACATCGTATGTATCTTTGGTATGTACAAAAATGTTCTTGCCCTGTTTGGTAACTAAGATTTAGTGAAAAGATTTTATTTTATTTTATTTTTCCATTTTAGATGTTTTTGGTACATATCCTTATCTTGCTTCATTCAATTCCCATATTTTGATGAGAAGTATTTCTAATTTTGTAATGGAAATTCTCATTTTTGTATTGATATTAAGATTGAGTGCGATGTTTTTAGTGGCGAAACAATTCTATGTTATTTCGGTCTTGGAAACTGCACCACATTATAAGTTTGCAATTTTGTGATGTTTTATGATGGATTTGTAGTTTGATGACTTTTGTGGGTCTCTCGGAGCTTGATTTAGGTATCTAGGTGGAGGTTTCGGGTGCGTTGTTTTGTTCAGCAATCGTCTTTGTGCAATTGTTGTAATGGTTGTATTTGGGAACAATCTGACGAGATTGAGATTAGACTTTTACAAGTTTGAAGGTGAAATTCTGAGATTGTCATTGACTCCTTGTTAGGTAAGTTTGTGAATGCAATTATGGGTTCATGATATTCGGTCTTTGACATTTCAATTTCTTGAAGTGCAGTTTCGTAACGTGTTTCATGATGCCAATTTTCTTGCATACCTTTTGGCCCGAATACGACATATTCTAGCTTTCTAAAAGCCTCTAGGTCGACTTATTTTTTATTATTGTGCTTGGCCCTTATTGTCTAGAATCAAGGTAAGAAGTGTATTGGTTGCATATGTAGTGTTATATGTCGTTATTAATTTTGGCGTGTCAAACATATTTTCTATTACTGTGCTTGACCTTTATTGCCGAGAATCAGGGTAAGAAGGGTATTGGTTGCATCCGTAGTGTCATATGTTGTTATTAAGTTTGGCGTATTAGACAAGAAGAATTGTGCTGCTTAACGAATCTGGGCCCAATTTATGTTTGCATCTTTAACAAAATAACAAGACGGTCTCCTTGACACAATCCGATGAATTGAGATTAGACTTTTACAAGTTGAAGGTGAAATTCTGAGATTGTCATTGACTCCTTGTTAGGTAAGTTTGTGAATGCAACTATGGGTTCATGATATTATCTTTGACATTTCAATTTCTTGAAGTGCAGTTTCGTCACGTGTTTCATGATGCCAATTTTGTTGCATACCTTTTGGCCCGAATACGACATATTCTAGCTTTATAAAAGCCTCTAGGTCAACTTATTTTTTATTATTGTGCTTGGCCCTTATTGTTTAGAATCAGGGTAAGAAGGGTATTGGTTGCATCTATAGTGTTATATATCGTTATTAATTTTGGCATGTCATACATGTTTTCTATTACTGTGCTTGGCTCCTATTGCCGGGAATCAGGGTAAGAAGGGTATTGGTTGCATCCGTAGTGTCATATGGCGTTATTAAGTTTGGCGTATTAGATAAGAAGAATTGTGCTACTTAACGAATCTGGACCCAATTTTTGTTTGCTTTTTTAACAAAATAACAAGACGGTCTCATTGGCACATTCATTATTTTAAGATGGGAACATGAATATTTCAGACATTCAGAGAGATGGTCATTGGTCCACTCCTAACCCACCGATATTGCCACAGCTTAACCACCTATTGCTACATATTCGGTTTTATCACAAAATGTCTCAATATTATTAGGAGTGGAACCATACGCTTATATATTATATTATATTTTCTTAATTCTCTAATGTGAAACTTATATTTAACAGGATAAGGATATCATAAGCTAAGGTTCGCTTCACTTTAATTTTAAGTGAAACCTATAAGTTATGGTTTGATAATTTAGCATTGGTCTTGCCACGAAATAATTGAGAAGGGGTTGTTAGTATTGTTTTAAAATAAAAGCCCTACACATACGAAACCGGATTCCCTCCGAACCTAAAGGAACTGAGCCCAAGGATCAAATGATCTGGGCCATTGAAATTTAATTCAACGGCTACAATTATTATAACTTTTAGAGAGACTCCCTATTTGTAGCCATTAGATCAAATTTCAATGGCTCGGATCATTTAATCCTTAAGCTCATATTTTTTTGGGTCCGAAAGGGATTTGGTTCCCTACACATACCATCACATTACAACCATACATGACCAAAAAAAAAAGAAAAGAAGGGTGTGTGTGGTGCCAAATATGAAATTAGCCTAATTTAAAAATATGTCAAACTTCACATCATCATAATTACCTCCAACATTAGCCATGGAATTGACTACCTAATTTTGCACGCACTCTGTCCCTATGCTCTAAGTTATTGAATGAAAAAAAAAAAAAATTTAAGAATCATGATTGGTGTCTAGATAAAGGTTCAATCAATTGAATAATCAATTTAGGTTTAGAGTTCTAGTTGAAGACAATGAGACTCGATGACGATACAGTTTTGGCCAAGAATAATTTCAAGTATGTAAAGAGAATTTGCTGAAGAATCAAATACCATCAGAATTATACCAATCGGTAGACTTGACCATCAAAACACTATGCGCGAAAAATCTCATTATACGCAAATGCTTTAGGCGAAAAAACTCGCTATATGCAAACCATTTCTCACATTGCTGCAAAAAAAAAAAAACACTAACCATCCTATCCCTCCCATCAACACCTCTCCTCTTTAGTTTGGATAGGTAAATAACACTATGTTGACAACCGGCAATACCTTTAGTTTGGATAAGTAAATAGCATTGGAGTCGTAGAAGCAATTGATTCAAGAGCGCCTTTAGTTTGGGCAAGTAAACAACATTGGTTTTGGTCGGTTGATAATTTATCCAAGTCTCGGCTGGCGAAATGAGGTGTTACTCAAGTTACTTAATGTTCAGCACATTGATAGTCAAACCTTTATTGAACTTCATTATAAGGCACAACTTGTCTTCAGGTTTTCAGAACCCTAAGCTGAGACGTGTTAATTCCTCGGTCGTAGTCACTCAAATGCAGAAGTCACCAATGCATTCGACACCACCACCACCACCACCACATCTGTTCTACTCACCCGACCGAGCTCGGTTGCAAGTTACCACACTCACCTTCACAAATGGGATGTAATTAGCTGATAGTTACTTAACTTGCACGCCACATAGGCTTTATAACTTTTAGGACCAACAATCTCCCATCGGGAATTGGTTAGTGGCGGCTCTTATAAGGAGCCAGATGTACGATCATAGACGTTGAGGGTGCCCAACTATGGGTGAGGAAGGACATGGAGAGAGAGAGAGAGAGAGAGGAGAGAGAGAGAGAGAGAGAGAGAGAGAGAGAGAGAGAGGGGTAAATAGTTGAAGGAGAGAGAAACTAAAAAGTGTCAACTTTTGTTACCAGATCTATTGAGTTAGGTTCGTGTTTCTATATTGTGAAGAGAATTACGCATTTGTCTTTTTAACCTCCTGCACACATATTTTTTTTAATCATTAGACTAAATAAATAAAAGAAAAATCAAGTGACCAAATTAAAGATCGAAGTGTCGAAGGTCAAATAGGAGTAAGAAAATCACTTCCCTCCTATATTATTGTTATGGATGCTTTGTATTTTTTTTTAACAAACAATATTGTTATGGATGCTTTGTATTTTTTTTCTTGAACAAACGATACTATCTACATTAAAGGGGAGTGGATGGGCTTAGCCTCATAATAGGCTAGCAATAATATGGTTCAAATTTACCATTGTTGAGAATCGAACTTAAGACCTCTCATTTACAAGTAAAAAAAAATACAACTAGACCATAATACTAAGTGGTATAAATGCTTTGTATTTAAAGTAACTATTTTGTAAATTGATGAATATATATGCCATATTCAAGATTTTCTAGTAAAATAGTATTGTTAAGGGTCACATTTACTGTTAAAAAAAGGGAGGGCCCTAATATATTATATTCGCACAAGCCTTCAAAATCTCATCATGCAATCAATTTTCGAACCTCTTTTTTCACCCTAAGATTACGATTTCATTTATTAGACTATATCCAATGCATCATAAAGTTTGAACTTAAATGATATATTTTCGGGAAGAACTCAAATATTATATTAGAGTCCAAATATAACAACCTTTTCACTACAATGCAATGGAAAGTTAAAACCTATGTATAAATTTTAGTCAAATTGAAGCTAATATTTGACTTTCAATATAAGACCTGATTCTAAAGTGAAGTTCGTACCTACAAGGAAAACTATTATTTCAACAAGAACAACGACATTTGAGTTTTGAAACCAACCATCTGCCAATCCACGTACTCAAATTTGAATCCGAAATTAAATGTTTTCTCCAGCACATACTTAAATATTAAAAGTCAACCCTGAGTTTTAAATTTTGCAATCCAGATAGTCTTAGTAGTGTATAATAAACCATTCCAGAAAGAAATTAAAGGCCTCATCACATAAAACATTACTAGCTACATTCTAGCTTTATTTATTTCGAGATACGCTAAGGGGATTTTCTAAAAAGTGAGACTCTTTATAGACTATCTGTCACTTAATGTTTATGACACAGTATTTTATAGTATATAAGAAAGAAGGAATGCAAAAAGTAGGCATGTAAAGGAAAAAAGAGTTTGGATTGAGAAAGGAGATTTAAAATCGATAGAAGTAGTCATTGGGGATTGTCCACCGTCAATCGTTTTGATCATTCTGTGAAAATTCGCCTTTAAATTGAAGAAACCACAAGTTCAAAATAAGGGTTTGATTTGACAAAAATGCACTCAATTCAACAGAGATT